ATGCCATTGATGCCTACTTACCACATCTGAGATAAACTTGGTTTTGTGTGGCTTAGTCAAGCAATCAGCCACTTTCTAAGACTTGTCTGTTTCTCTCATGAACTTTTTTTTTTTTTAGACTTCCTACATTTTGTGGAGATTTGGGCTAAGAAACTTCTTTAAGCACCGAGTCTAAGCTAGTTTCTTTTTTTATCATTTTTTATTTGAATTAGAAACAAGATTGAATTACATGACATTCCCAGTTCCCTCCCTTCCTCCTCTACCACCCCCCAACTAAAACCCTACCTATTACATATCCTTTCTTCTAATCTACACCTGACTCAACCTTTCCGCTCCCTCGTGACCTCTGCATCCTTCCTCTTCTTCCCTTCTCATTCTCATAGCTCCCTCCACCCTCTTCCCATGCTCTCAATTTGCTTAGGGGATTGTGACCCTTTCCCCTTCTCCAGGGGACAATGTTTGTCTCTTTTAGGGTCCTCCTTGTTTACTAGTTTCTCTGGCAGTGTGGATTGTAGGCTGGTAATCCTTTACTCTATGTCTAAAATCCACATATGAGTGAGCACATATCATGTTTGTCTTTTTGTGATTGGGTTTCCTTGCTCAGAATGGTTTCTTCTAATTCCATTCATTTTTCTGAAAATTTCAAGATTCCATTGTTTTTATCTGCTGAGTAGTACTCCATTGTGTAAATGTACCACATTTTCTCTATCCATTCTTCGGTTGAGGGGCATCTAGGCTGCTTCCAGTTTCTGGCTATTACAAATAGTGCTAAGCTAGTTTCTAATGCTATCAATCTTATATTTCATCTGGGTCATCCGGATTGAGGTAAAGATGAACTTGGAATCAGCCTTCCACAACTTTCTGCTATTAATGACATGTTCACACAGCTGAATAGATGGCTCAGCAGCTAAGGGCAATGGCTGCTCATCTACAGGGATGTGCTGTGATTCCCAGCACCCAAACCACAGGCTATGACTCTGTAATATCAGTCATGGAGGATATGATACCATCTTCTCATCCCTACTGTTACCTAACACGCATTTGTCAGAGGCAGTAGCAAGACTTATACACCTGAATTAATTTTAATTTTTTAAATTAACATATACATGAAGAAAAATTTTTACAATCTGTAATGACATATATATGTCATATATATACTATATATATGTGTATATATATATACACACACACACTATATATATATAGTGTGTGTGTGTGTGTGTGTGTGTGTGTGTGTGTGTGTGTGTGTCTTTTCATCATTTGCCTATCTGGTACCTTAGGAGACAAGAAGAGGCATCTGATCTCTTGGACCTAAAAATACAAGTAGTTCTGAGCCATCTGATGTGGGAGCTAGGAACCAAACTTGGGTACTTAAAGGTAGTAGTACTACTGAACAAACTCTCTAGCTCCCAAATAAGTCATTATAATGAAGATGAAGATGCCCAATTATTTCTTCTGTCTCATATCACTTAAAGGAGATGAAAGTTCCTGTTAGATGGTTGTCAAAGTACTCAGTGGATTTCTATCCCTCTGCAAATGTACTCTCCACATTGTTTCTTAATTTCATTGTTAACATGGTTCTCTTAATGTAAGCAAAGATAATAAGAGGTTTTGTTGAAACCAGTCAGAGTCCAGTAAGATTATATTAGGAAAAGTTCGATAATTCGAGATATACTATTTCTTTTTGGAAATCTTTTGACACAGGCTATTTCTACATAGCCATGGCTGTCCTGTAACTCACTATGTGGATCATGGTAGCCTCAAACTTAAGAGAGATTGGCCTGTCACTGTCTCCCAAGTGCTGGGATTGCACTCTTGCACTCCTAACCCAGATGAGATGTTTTTGAAGTGACACATCTTTGAATCAGAGAATGAAATAGTAAAACAAGATTTACAAAGGAACCATCATTGTTTTGATGAACAGTAATACTCCTTGAAATTCTATAATAGTAATTTAAACTTGCAAATCATTTTATGTTGTCAATAATTGGGTTTCTTTGCTTTGTTAATTTCAGCACTTAAAAATGTTTGAACTGTGTATGTATACACCTGTGCCATGGTGTGCATGTGACAGTATCAACTATCTACTTCCCCTGTAATTTATCTACTTCCCTTATGTGAGTTATAGAGAAGAAACCTAGGGAGTCAGATTTGGCTGAAAGTGACATCATTAATCCTTATGTGGGTTTAAAAATTATTTATGTATGTGCTAGTGTTGAGTGTGCTTTTACCACAGCCCAAGTGTAGAAATAAGAGAAAAACTTGTAGGAGTAATACAAGTCTCCCAGTGTCATCAGACTTAGCAGCAACCAATTTTATCCTCTGAGAAAATCATCCAGTATTCATTTGCGGTTCTGAGGAAATGTTATGAACAAGTGTTTAGTCCTCAGAATAAACTAACACATGAGAGAGAGAGAGAGAGAGAGAGAGAGAGAGAGAGAGAGGATAACAATATATCATTTTCATTTGTAAATATGATTTATTATTCAAGCTGTCCTGTTTTCATCCATCATTAGATGACAGTATGTTCACAATCTGAAAATAGGACAATATTGTATTGATATAATATTTCAACTAATTTTACTTGAGGATCAGTGAGAGTGCTCAGTGGGAAATGTCTGTGGTGTGCAAGGCTGGAACCTGACCTTGATATACATATAAAGATGGTGGAAAGCAGATTATACAAAGTTGTCTTCAGTCTCCACATATTTGTCATGGCCTAAAAACCAATAATTACAACACACACACACACACACACACACACACACACACACACAGAGTTATAGGGGATACTGTAGCCACAAATGCCTGAGACGGCATGGTCAGGGTGATGTAGGGAAAGTTTAAGCATGAGGGATGCTTAGGTGGCCCTGCTTTTGCTTTCATCTTGGGCTTGTTGTATTTATTGCTGCCGTGCCGGCAGGCTTGGTCACTCTGTAAGTATGGCTTTTCCCTATTAAATTCCCTTGTATTTTTACCTGGCTCTGTATTGGTAATTTCCCACATTATACAGTGTTTTTTTTTTCAAATACATTCCATTGCTGTTATGTTATCTGGCATCTCTAGATAATTCCCCTAGAAGTCAGTACTTCCAGATGAAGTGCCAAATAGATAATGGGGACATGAAGACACATGGAACATCAAATAATATATCCATATCTATATCAAATCAAACTCTGTTGTGAGATATACAGTAGACTACTGATTACCTTATTACATCTCATCCAGAGAGATGAAAATGCTGTTTTGGATACACACATGAGGTATTTACTGTTTCTTATATTCTCTTCTATTGAGCATTTTTACCATTAACATTGTTATAATGTGTAGACAAAACATCAAACACTGGGGGTACATCTTCTATCCTTGGACTTATATTCAAGAGACTGACACATGAGAAACAAGAGTTGAAATGCATACTTGACTAATTACAGATATCCAAGCCAGGCTAGATAGCAAAAAAAATGATGTCTCAGGGGAATTTGTAAATATATGAAAAACAAAACCAGGAACAACAAACCAACACCCATTCACTGGCACACTTACTTGAAAACTATGATAACACATCATCTGATGTTCAAATAAACAATGGACTGCTTAGATGAGGAGCACCACATTCTATACATTGCATCATAAAAATATACATCAACCAAGTGAAAGTGCCAAAAATAAACAATAGCCACAGGAGGAATAGAAGGACCACAAAATAAACTTTACTAAAAGAATTTGCCACATGTACAGCAAATTCCACATCTACTCCAAATGTTTCAAAACACAAACCACAACCACAATTGTTGATCTTTATCATTACACTTGCATGAACATGATAAATAATTTACTTCTTTCAGGATATGATGAAAAAGAAATGAAATAGTTTTTCCTTGAAACTGAAGACAACTTTGATGTTTATAGTCATTACCAAATCATTTACATGAACATAATTTTTCTCTTGTTTGACTTCTTTCCTACTTTCTAACATCAAGTTGATATATAAGTCTTTAAAATACTTACAGGGTGAGAGACATGGCCAAATTCATTCTCAGGACAAAGGTCAGATTTTAGACTGAAATTCCTGCTACAAGAAGATTACAGGGTCTAACCTTCTTGGGAATAAGCATGAACACGCACATATCCACACAAAGACACATTGATACCACATAATTAAAATGAAAAAAGAAATCATTAAAATGTTTTCACTCATGAATGTTTTTGTTATGTAAGCATTCAATACTGTAACACAGGTATTTAGGCATCTGAAGACTTATTTACAGAGTTTTCCTTCATCATAATTTGGTTCATGCAACAGAAAACAAGCATGTAAACTTGAAGTCAGAGACATTAATCCTTCTCCTTGGGGTTATCATTTGGGAAGATTTAGGAAATGCTATCCTGTTGGAAGAAACATGTCACTGGGGGTGGGTGAGCCTGAGTTTACGTCTGCACATTATTTTCAGATCCCAGTCTCTATTTCATGGTGCATGTTGGGGATGAGTTCTTAGCTTTCTTATTTACCTGTCACATCTGACAACTGTTGCCATGCCATTTTCATAGTGATTCTGTATTGTTCTGCAACCAAGGGCCAAATTAAACTGTTCTGTAAGTTGACTTAGATATTATGTTTTATCACAGCAACAGAAAAGGCACTAATACACATCCATAAAGTTTTACACCTGGATGAACTGGTTCATGTAATTGAAGAGCAGTGTGAAATCTAAGTGGGCTACCTCCTTGTATAGATTCATAAAGACATCATAATGCTTGAACAGATTGTTGATACTGTTAGACCTTTTCTCCAGAATAATCTTGTGTAAATAAATGTAAGTGTGTTGGCTAAAGATTTTTACCAAATCCTTTATAGTCACATTCCCTTATGTACTAGTTTTTTCAGGTCCTAAAGATTACTGTGATTTGTAAAAGCTTGAACAGACAATTACACACTAAAATTTTTACTCATGTATAAAGACTACCATGAAGTGCCAAGCTTACCACAATGATTATATTTAAAGGGTTCCTCTGCAGAATGATTTCTTTTTCTCATGAATTCGAAGATTACTGCTACATGCAAAGGCTTTATCACATCGATGGCATTTGTAGGGTTTCTCTCCGGTATGTGTTCTTGTATGTAGTTGAAGATGACTTTGACGTGCAAAGGCTTTACCACATTGATTACAATTATAGGGTTTTTCTCCAGTATGTGTTCTTTTATGTATTCGGAGACTACTATGACATGAAAAGGCTTTATCACATTGATTACATTCATAGGGTTTCTCTCCAGTATGTATTCTTTTATGTATCCGGAGACTACTGTGACAAGAGAAGGCTTTACCACAGTGATTACATTCATAGGGTTTCTCTCCAGTATGTGTTCCTTTATGTACTCGGAGACTACTATGATGTGCAAAAGCTTTACCACATTGAAGACATTTGTAGGGTTTTTCTCCAGTATGTGTTCCTTTATGTGTTCGAAGGCTACTGTAACATGCAAAGGTTTCGCCACATTGATTACATTCATAGGGTTTCTCTCCAGTATGTGTTCTTTTATGGATTTGGAGACTACTATTTTGTGAAAAAGCTTTCCCACATTGATCACATTCATAGGGTTTCTCTCCAGTATGTGTTCTTTTATGGATTTGGAGACTACTATTTTGTGAAAAAGCTTTCCCACATTGATCACATTCATAGGGTTTCTCTCCAGTATGTGTTCTTTTATGTATTTGGAGACTACTGTTTTGTGAAAAGGCTTTCCCACATTGATCACATTCATACGGTTTCTCTCCAGTATGTGTTCTTTTATGTACTTGAAGATGAGTATGATCTGCAAAATCTTTGCCACATTGATGGCATTTGTAGGGTTTCTCTCCAGTATGTGTTCTTTTATGTTTTTGAAGATGACTGTGATATGCAAAGGCTTTGCCACATTGATTACATTTGTAAGGTTTCTCTCCAGTATGTGTTCTTTTATGTACTCGGAGACTACTGTGATGTGCAAAAGATTTACTACATTGATTACATCCATAGGGTTTCTCTCCAGTGTATGTTCTTCGAAGTCTATTGTGATGTACATAGGTTTCACCATATTGAATACTTTCATAGGGTTTCTCTCCAGCATGAGTTCCTTCTTTCCTTTGAAGATGCCCATGATATGTAAAGTCTTTACTACACTTAGTATATTCCAAGGTTTTCTCTCCAGTACTTTCATACCTGCAAAGATAATTGGCAAATGTAAAAAGCTTTACACTGATGAATCTGTATGTCTGTATGAATTAATTTTACAATTCGATCTAATTGAAGGATGAATCATATCTTATGGTTTAGAGTCATTAAGGGTTGTTTTGCATCTTTGAAGATGCCTGTGATGATAAGAGCCTTCATTACATGGCTCACATTTATAGCATCTTTTTTTCTACATGAGATTTTTCATATATTTACAGAGAACTGGAGGAATTCAGAGCTTTACTACACTTTTGCATTCACAAATTTTCCTATATTATGAGTCATACTACATTTGCAAAATGAATTGTGACAAAGAGAAGTATTTATACATTCCTATATTCATAGGGCTTTTCTCTGGTATGAGTTTGTTGATGTATTCACAATGAAGTTGGAAAACTTCAATTGTAAACTTGTATCACATTCTACAAGTCTATCCAAAGTAGGGACTACTACATATATTCTAATTGTTGGGGAAAGAAAGAGGTAAGTTGATACTTTCCATATACCTATGCTTACATGGATTGCATCCATATGATATATCTAGTAAATGAAGAATAACAAATAAAACTTTTCCACATTGCATTCACACAGTTTGATTTTCTGTTCTTCATAGACATGTAGTATTATAGTGACTAAGATTTCTCCACAATGACCGGCTTGATTCTCATAAACTACCCCTTTCTCTAAATTTAGCAGTTACAAGTATATGAACAACACTAGCTTTACTATGGACTCTTTGCTTATTAGAAGGCTTTGGGCAAATACTTATCATCTATTCAATGTGTATACCTTTTATAATATCTGAGTGGTATGAAACTAAATGGATTAGTGGTTCTACTGCATAGCTCTCATAGGGCTATGATTCACATGGCAATATCAGTTAAGGCATTGTTTCTTTGTCTTCTTTCTTAGAGGTATGCCTTGCAAACACAGATCAGCTCCCTGACACCGAGGGATATGTTTTTTGGAGAATTTAATAATCATCGATTCAATTTTAAGCTATGCTTATTTATATTGTTGCCTTTCTTTAAAACTTTTAGGACACATTAAAATTTCTCCATAGGCACGTTTGTATCACCTTGCACATGAAAATTACCTTCCATGTCTTCTGGAACTTTGACAATGTTCTTCAATAATATGATCTTCCCAACTGTAGCCTAAAATATAGTACAAGAAAATGTATGATATATTATTGGAAATTGTACAATATTTAAGTTACTATCATCAGTGAACCTGATTTATTCACCTCATTCTTCCTCTTTCTCAACCAAAATTACAGAAGATTATCAATAATAAAGATAGAGTTGTCCCCTTATTTTAAGACATGAAGTAAAATCCAGTCTTACCTATAGCAGTGAGGTTCCAGTAGGTTTCCAGCATCACATCTTTGTAGAGACTCTTCTGGAAAGGATCCAGCAAAACCCACTCTTCCCCAGTGAAGTCAACATGCACATCATCATAGGTCACTGCATTCTGAAATATCCCATATATGTGTACAACAGAAAGTACGATAGTGACAACATTGTAAATGTATACTTCCTTGACAATATACTTATATAATTCTGGTGCTTCCCATATTTATTCCATGATACAGAATTTCTAATATAACTACAAAATAATTTTCAAAAGGAACTGAACAATGAGGTTCACCTCTGCCATTTCTGCACTTTGACTAGAATATAGCCTTGGAAGTGAAATGGTAATTAACACACATAAAGATAGAGACAAGCAAACAGATCAATGGTACTGAGTACATTTCAGAGAAATTGTATAAAAACTTACTAACTAGAAAAAAGATGGGCAAGCTGGATGTTTCAGCTCATGACTTTAATCTCAGCTCTCAGGAGGCAGAGGCAGGTGAATCTAATTGAGTTGGATGCCAGCCTGGCCTATGCAGTGAGTTCCAGGACAGCCAGAGTTACATATGTCTCCCCCATAAAGATCAATGAAACAGAAATGGTAGGAAGAATCCAGAGATATTTACTAAAGTTCCTATGAAGAGTTAAGAATTTATTCCCATTCTGAATTTATCTTCATAGAACTGAAGTGCCCCAGTTTAAACTGTAACAATAATATTACTAAAAGGGAATGGACACATCTTTAAACAGTTACAAATGCACAAATGAAAACATTAGCAATGTACAATATTGATCATAAACAACACAAGGTAGGAGAGTGGGCTCAGCAGCTTAGAGTGCTTGCTGGTCTTGCAGACAGGTGGGCTCAATTGACAGTACTTACACCAGGGCTCACAACAATCTAATACTCCAAGTTCAGGCCTTCTGAGGCCATGTTCTGTCTACTCTGAGGACCAGCCACACATTTGGTACATATCCATGCATTCAGGCAAAAGACTCATATTGTTCAAAACAAACACAATAGGTAGAAAGAATTTGACACACTTGCAATCCAGTGACTCATCCATCCTGGGAAAGAGAATAATACCTCTGCCAAATTTCAAAATTCATGATGTGGATGAAACTCAGCACAACAGCATATTCTTGACATGTATAAAAGCCTGCCTTCCAGACCCATCAGTCACTAATATAAAAACAAACACAAAAACAAAAAAACAGGTATATTGGCCCACCTTTAATTCCAGCATGTAGGATCTGGAATCACTGGGATCTCTAAGGTGACGCCAGCAAGCCTGGTCTACAGAACTATTTTCAGGATAGCCAAGTGTGCTGATATTTTGTTTGCAATCTAACAAATATATCTTGCCTGAAGTTCAGAGTGTAAAGCTAACCACACTAGTCAGTCATACCGGCCAGGCACACCTTCAATCCCAGCAGCCACACTAGTTACCCATAGAGATTGGGATTAATGCCTTTAATCCCAGCATTAGAGAGGAATATAAGACAGGAGGAGATGGGCTCAGGGGCTCATTCTGTATTCAGTCTGCAGTCACACTGAGGACAGGATTGCCTTGGCCTTGGTAGAAGTAAGAACTCTCTAGTTCTTTCTTTCTCTGATCTTCAGCTTGAATCCCAATATCTGTCTCTGGGTTTTTATTATTTGTGCCACATCCAGGGCTACACAGAGAAAGCTTGTTCTCAAAATCAAAAACAATAAAATTAAAAAAATAATCAGGTTAGCAAAATGGCATAAGACACAGCTGAAGCCATTGCTGTTCAATGCTAAGCCATTTTGCTAACCTAATTATTTTTTTAATAAATGGTGGTGAAGTTGTGACAGCAGGACACAAAGAACAGGAAATTGGTTAAGGCTCAAATCCCATCCCAAATGAGGAATTTCATCCAGAATGGCTTTCCTCCTACTAAAGATTTCACAAACAACCCAAAGAAACCCACCAAGGAGAAACAAGTGTTCAAATATATTATCTGGTAGATTTTTCATTCAATCAACTAAATTCTGACCCAGGTCACTATAGGCTTATGGTCATCCCATGATGAAATGAATTTTGTCTAACTTCAATGGCCATAGTCTGCAATAGCTCTTACACTTTTCATATGTCTGAAGTCTCTTCTGATACTCACGTCAATTGCTTGACTGTGACATCTTGTGAAATCAGAAAAACACATTACATCTTTCCAACATAAGAACATCCATTCCCATTCTAAAAGAGGAATGGGAACACAGTGAGAGAAGATTGGACCAAGGCAAGACTGAAAACCATTAGGGCAAACACCAAAACAAGTAGCTCTGTCTCAAACACACAGGACTTCAGTTTCAAGGGCTCTGATGTCACAATTTTCCTATAACTTCTCATACATCTCTCTTCCAGTCCCTATGTGCAACTCTGCATGGCAGATATCTCATAGCTTAGTTATCTCAACATCTTGTGGTCTGAGATCACAACCCAGGCTTCATGTTCACAACTTTATGCACTGAACTGTCACAGTCTCCTCATGGAGACTTTAACTAAAGCTTTAACACAGATGCCTGCAACAGGACAGAACTGAAACCACAGACTAGGAATTCATGACCTGAAATTTTGATTCTTTCTTTTTTCTAGAACCAGCACAAGTTGGCTTCTAAATCAGGATGGACCCTGCCAAGTTTGGACCACAATTGCAGCAGGTTTTATATGAAACTGCTTCCTGGGACTAGGAATTATTTTGCCTAATACTTCTATTAATTGAAGGCCTAAAAGGATGGAGTCTTACTCCGAGGGCATCTTGCTAGGCTTCCATTGTAGAGCAAGGGCTTTCTCTTTAATGGTGATAATCTCTTTAAAAACACCTGCCTCTGTTTCAGCACCTGACTGCCCTCTTGACCTACCTTTTCATATCATTTATTTCTGCCCCACTTGTTGTTTTATTAATAGCCATCCAACAGATTCAATATTCCATCTAAAAAATCAGCCCAGCCTGGTGGGGATGTTGCAGGCCTTTAATCCCAGCACTTAGAGAGGCAGAGGCAGGTGGATCTCTGTGAGTTCTAGGCCAGCCTGGTCTACAGAGCTAGTTCCAGGGCAGCCAGAACTGTTACACAGAGAAACCCTGTCTCAAACAAAACAAAAACCAAAAAAAAAAAAAAAACCAACAAAACAAAACAAAACAAAAAAAAACAGAAAAGGAAAAAAGGAAAAAAGAATAGAAAAAAGAAAAGAAAAGACATCAACCCATAATTTTATTTCATCTTACTCAATTTCTCTGGGTATGGGAAGAATAAGAAAAATTTGGGCCAAAATACCACTCAAACGATCTCTAGCTTAATTTTTCAAGGAGTCTATTTCCAACTAAAATCCTATGATCTCGATCTCCACTGTTTACATTACTCACAAGATTTCCAGCATCTGGTCTAATAAAAATATCCAGTTAATTCTATGTACAGCTTTCTATGCCTATTGTCATTTAAGTCCTGATATTTTCCATATTCCTCCAAAAGACAACATTCCCAGGTTCTGCCCAGCAACAAAATCACATTTGGTGTTCCAGTTTTTTGTTCTAATTTGCTTCTCTGCTGCTGTAATCAAATCCTCTAACCACAGGCATCTCAGGTAATGAACAGGGTTATTTGGCTGATATTTCAGATCATAATCCATCATTGCAGGAGCTCTAGGAAAATCCAGTAAGAAGATGAAGGAAAAATCAGGAGCAAACATTTCCCACTCCCTGGCTTTCTCTCTTCTTTGTTCGATGTCTCGTGCTCATCTAGATCTCTTATTCAGCCTAGGCTCACTTGCTTATGGATATTGCTACCCTTGGTGGAAAAGCCTTCCCACATAAATCATCAATTAAAACAGTCTCTTACAGACATAGCAGTTTCTGGACATTGTGAATAAAGCAGCAATGAACATAGATGAGCAAGTGTCCTTGTGGTAGGCTGGAGGAACATCTTTTTGGTACATGCCCATGAGTTGTATAGCTAGGCCTGGATGTAGATAGATTTCCAATTATCTGAGGAAAGCCATACTGCTTTTCATAGTGGCTGTAGAAGTTTACACTCCCACACAGCAATGGAGGAGTGTTCCCCTTGCTGTTCATCCTTGCCATTATGAGCTGTCACTTGTGTTATTGATTTTACCAGGAGTATGAATGTTGAACATGTCTTTAAGTGTTTCTCAGTCATTTTAGAGTCCTCTGTTGAGAATTCTGTTCAGATCAGTACCTCATTTTTATTGAATTATTTGGCTTATTGATATCTAGTTTCTTGAGTTCTTTATTATCCTAAGTGAGGCAACATAGAACCACCTAGAAAAACATATATGTACTTAGTTATACGTGGATATTGTTTTTTAAGTAAAGAATAATCACAGTAAAATCTAAAGGCCTAGAAAGGCTAAGTAACAAGGATGGCTGTGGGGGTGGGAGGGAATGAATGCATGGATCTCTCTGGGAAGAGAAGATATATTAGATTTTGTGGGTGGACTGGGGGGTAGGTACAGGAAGGACCAGGTGAGTAAGGGAAGGACAGAGGGAGAGAATGCAGGGAGAGGTGAGTTGAATAGGGGAACTTTTAGGGGGTGATGTGATAACCTGCTACAGTGGAAACTCCATGGTGAGGACTTTAAGTAATCAAGAATACACAGCCTGAACTCACCATCTTCTGTAACCACACGAATCTCTCACTGGTGGAGCTGGACACCAACCCAGCCAAATTACTTGACCCACACTTGTCCTGTCTGACAGGGCAATGGTGGTTCAGAGCTTGTGTAGTGGCCAACCAATGACTGGTTTACCTTGAGGCCCAAGCCAAAAGAGGAAGCCCCTGCCCAACACTGCCTGGATGAACACGAACCAGAAGTTGGATTGCTCAGAGAACTAAGGTAGAACAAATACAACTGACCAAAAAAAAAAAGTCAATGAAATTATTCATAATTATATTCTGTTATAATCATAGATCCATGCCTAGCTGAATTTCCTTAAAGATGCTTCCTCCTGAAGCTGATGTGAGCAGATACAGAGATCCTC